CACTTGTGTATCAAGTTTTGTTGAAACGAGACCGAAATTGTAGAAAGAATAACATTTTAAAATGTTGTTTACTAATAGACAGGTGTTCTACCCACTGAGCTACCCAGGCCGATATCCACAAATAGAGAGAAACTGTGGAGTCTTCCTGAATACCCACGGCTCTGCAGTTCATTTTCGGTATCATGGGAAATGCAATAGCAATGATATTAGTGTGGATTAATCGGAAAGATCACAAATGGTCATCTTTTTATAAAATGTTGGCGTTCACAGATTTTGTGGGAGTTTTATTCACTTATCCCTTTGTTATCATGAGATACAGTTCTGATTTTACATACTGCTTTCCAGTAAAAATCTGTGAATTTATCTCTTTCGTAATGGTGGACGCACATCTAGCCGCTGCGATGTTAATATGTACATTGTCTTTTGACAGACTGCTTGTTTTAATAAGCCCTCGCCATTCTAGGAATCAAGATTTCGGCAGACGATATGTGGTCGTGATATTATCAATTCGGCTTTTTCCTCTGTCTTCTCAATGTTACAGTTGGTCGGCATAGGAGCAGCTCAGCTTTATTTTCCAGGCTCCTGGTGCTACTTTGATTTCATAAATCGTAGTAGTGGAGACCTTTTCTTGTCTTACTTTTATTCGGTCGTCAGCTTCTCAATAATTTTGATTACTGTAGTGGTCAATGTTTTTACTCTGTGGAAAATTTGCGTCGACCCAGCTGCAAGGGGAACTCTGTTAGACTCAAGTCTGGTTTCCGGGTATTACGACTCTCACGTTATGATTTTCATCATTGCAGTTACAGTATCCTTTGTAGCTACTTGCACTCCTTTAATCGTAAGTATGAATTGTTTTCTTAAATAAAATTACTAAAAATCATAACAATGTTTACTTTATGTACATATTTTTTCCCTTTCTGCCCAACCCTCAATCTTAAATATTTCATATACTTGCTCTAGGAAAGAAAGTTAATGTTCTTACTAGTGACAATCGCCACATTATATGTCTAAGTATGGTCTAAATCTTAATCCCAATGATTTTTTTCATTTTATCACTAAACGTTTGAGAAGATGACGCAATAACTCCAATGAGATTTCTTTAGATCCGTCACTGGAAAGCCAAGATCACTCCCTAAGACACCCAAGTTCTTGCTTCAAATACAATGAAATGAATAATGATGAATACCAGATTGACATTGATAAAACAAGTTTTAAAATGATGACAATTCTGGTTCTGAATAAGTTTTTATTAAACGTGACATGTGAATTTGAGTATTTAAATATACTCATAGAATTCCAGCTGTGTTAGTTGTAGATATAACTAAACAAGTAGGCAATAAATTTCTCTTTTTCTTCAATAAATTTTAGCACACACTGTTAAAAAAACGATTCTTTCTTTACATTAAGAAGGGATAAGATAATTTTACTCTTTTTGCATTTTTAAGTTGATATCTTTTTGCATGCGATAGAACTGAGAACTGAAAACGATGATTTGGAAATGTGGTTTGAACGCTTGACATTCCTGAATGCCATCATAGACCCTTGGTTGTACATTGTTTTAAGAAAAGAATCCATTAGAAGACTCGTGCTTGTTTACCGATTCTTTGGCAATCCCAAAATTCCAGAGGAGGAATGTTTGCTGGAAAGATAAAATAGATTAAATCTTAAAGGAAAATAGATCAGATGAGTGTCGCCATTAAATGATTATACTTTGATAGACTTTTTTTTGATTGTCTTCACAAATGATAAATGGAAAATGATTTAAAATGAATATGTTAGGACATTTATTGTATATAGGAATTTTATTCGCCTCTCTCGCCCTGGTCACATGTGGGCGATTTAAAAACAGGGCGAAATCAAATTAAACAGCACAATCTAACACAAATATGTCTGGAAGAATTTAACACGGGGTAAAATTGTTTGAAAAAGTGTCGCAGTAGGTGTTGGCACGAAAAAGATACCTCACTGCTCGATGGCCCTTAGTGCCGAGTATAGGTATAAATTTGCAGCCCTCCACCGGCAAGTGGTATAGTCTCCATATGAGTGAAAAATAATCGAGAGGGACGTTAAACAACAAACAACAAACTGCATAATTCAACCTCAATTAATGAAAAATAAATGATACTTAAATATATTAAATGGGGATTTCCACAAAATACTAGTACTTTCTCGTTATATTATAGGTAACAGCTTTGAATCTATTCCTCCTTACACTCTGAAGTCCATATTAAAAAGATGCTATAGTTTCTCTTTGACAACATCTATGTAGTCTTTGGAGGCCAGGATTTCCAACAAAATGTTGGATTTCCGATTGGCCTAAATTGTGCTTATTTTAACCCGATCTGTTTTTATATTCCTATATTTACATTTAGCAATGTACTTCCTTAAATGACAATAATCACGAAATTGACATTCAATTTTCGATAACATGAATTCGAGATTGTCAAGTGATTGGGTACGGAAACCAAACTGCACGAGACATTTGGAAGGTCTAGACTGTGACGTCAGATGACGCCGTCATGTATTTTGTTGCACTTTTATAAAGGTGTCTGAAAAGTTCTTTTTTTTTTCTTTGTAACACAAATCAAAATTAGAGATATATATTTATTTATTGATAAAACGTCGTCGATATATCTGAATGTAGAGTTGATGTCTACAGCAAGTGTTTTATACTCTTATATTGAAGGTTTTTGAATAAAATGCCATTCATTTAAGATTAGGATATCATTTTTAGAGTTTAATTGGGATATGATATGAGGTTGGTCACTTGATCATTTCTTATAACTCCCAAAGGGCGTTATAGTAGATATGATTACGTACCAACTTTATGTCTAATCCCATTGAAACTCTTATAATGAAATTTGATATTTTAATTTATATCAAATGGATATACCAGGAAAATTCCCAAAAAATCGGTGATGACCAGACCGGTGAAGAGTTTGAAAAAAGAAAACCAACGATGTTCATGGCGGTTGACCCAGAGAAGAATAAAGGCGATAATATTACCGGTGATGCCGAAGAAATATTCCAATCCTGCAGGCACCCACGATGTCTCGGTATCGTTCCTAAAGCAAATAGGGTAGTCATACTTTGGATTAGACTGCTCCATGATGTTTTAGATAATATCTGCCACCTACCTAAGGTATTATAGCGTTTTAGATAACAGCAATCTGAGATTACGTAATCAATATATCAGTGCATATTTCTATCTTAGGTTAAGAAATTACCACTCAATTATACGCTAATCAGATGCACCTTCGTATCTATTTCGTATAAAAACAAATAACTACATACGAACTTTAGAAACGTCTAAGCTTGTTTAACTTTGTTGTTCCATGCAGACATCAGACGATTTCTTATTTTGATAATGAGCTAAAGATTTTAATTCATGAATTGTATCTCTATGAATGTTCCACAGAAAGCCTAGAAACCGAGAACAGAGGTTTGACAGATTTTACCCGTTGATGTTGTTAAAATGTATTTAAAAATATGACATTAAAAATGCATGAAATGTTTCTACCCTTTTAAAAATTTGTTGAAGAGATTCAGTACAAATTACATAAGGAACAAAACGTGTGATATAGATATCTAAAATTCAGACCCTTTTTACGACGACGAACTGATGGCGGACATCTGACCATCACATAAGCCGTTCTGGTCCTGCACTAGAAAAGCTGATAAGTGTATGAGAAAGTTATAATTTTAAGTAGTACAATATATAAAGGCATGTTACTATAAGAGAGAGAGAGAGAGCATTGTTTTAATGCTGTAAATAGCATTTTATTCACAAGAACATGCAATTCTGCAAGATCTTATTGTTGACTACTAATTGGTGCCCATAAAACAGTTAGAGAACTGAAATTATGAATCAGTGGTAAGGTTGCTTGTGATATTGACTATAATGAGCAGAAAAAGAAATTCGTTAAAAATCTATTTTGTTTTAATAGTCATTATTAATTGATCTCAGGTAAATAGAAAAAAAATATAACACAAGGTGCAACATTTGATGACGTGGATCTATTAATCGCTAAAAATGTCTTCAGGATATATAACACAATTTAAAAAAAAAAGATGCTCTGATTGGTATGTATTTTTTTATGGATTTTGAATGAAAATATTAAAAATAAATCTCTAAAATATAAATGTTTTTTTGGTGCTGAAATATGTGACTTTGTGCTATTTTCTATATAAATCTAATCCATCTACTTATTTGAATATATTTTTTTTATATTTATATAGTGCTGATATCTGGAAAAAATCTTGTGTTATTTATCCTCAAAGCAATTGCTGATTTCAATGATTTGACGACTATTAATTTTGGAAAAATATACCCTTTATTCTTGAAGCAATAGGAGCTCGTAGATAATCTCATAGATAACTGGCCACAAAGTTAATATGCAATTTTTTCTGGATGATCGAAAAGAGATATTTATAATTTTATTGTAAAAAAATCACTTTTAATTATATGTTTTGAAATTCTGACATATTCAATTCATACATTTACCGTTACCTCAATTGCTTTGATTCTTCAAGTTAGCAATAAAGGCATGATTCCTTTTATATTTAATTGATCTGTTTATGTAAATAAGAAAGGATAAAGAACATGATATATTGGACACAAGTTTACAAACCTGAAGATATGTCAGTCTTACAATGCGTATGAAACACAAATTTATTCTTACTTGATGAAATATATAAATTGATCAAAGCAAATATATTGTCATTATCAGTGTAATTCTGATAAACATTGAAATTAGCTAGCTAGAAGGAAACTAAAGATCCTAAAAGTAAACTGATTGATTATTCATCTGGAAAATCTAGGTCCCTTGCAGCATCTGGACCTTTATGACCTTTATTGCACATCTACATCCTTAGCAAATTAGAACTCTTAAGGTTACGATATTCATATGTTAAATATTATGTAATAATTCTTATCAAATTAATTTGACCTTTCTCTGACTGATAAGAGTTGAAGTGTAAATTTTGGTACACTGCTAATTCTTAGTATATCAGAAAATGCGCACACTTCCTCTGTTGTTGGAATTGTACATTGTTGCCTGTCTCGCGGATGCTGCAACTGAATATCTTCATAATGCAGACTTTGAGAGTACAAGTTTTAGCGGGAACTGGTTTTGTGCGGATTGTACCATGACGTCCTACACAGCAGACGTTTACCATGGAAGTAGATCAATCAAGGTAACAAACAGGTGAGTGAAATGGAAAGTTATTTTATCCAACTGACAACATCGATATATAAGCTTTAATGTGAAAATCAAATCTATGTTCTTCGTATTTAAAACCTAAGATATAAAAAAAAAATCTCTTAAATTAAACTTAAGAGTGTTTTAGCGTCGGTGAAATTAGTTATCTACTTTTGGGCTTAGATGTTAGATGCACGACATCAATTCATAAAACCGGGACAGATTACTAATAAAAAAGTTGATATTACAGGGTTTTCAACAATCCCGATTAAAGTCAATATTTCCCAGATTCTGTGGTCGATATAATAACCTTATTTGCAAATACAACCTATTGTTGGATCGTTTTTTTTTTTTTTTTACTTACATGTTTCGTACCATTTGTTAGGCCATTGATTTTACAATCAATATATGGGGATCATAGAAGATGCGACCAGTTGACAGGGAATGCTTACATCTCCTAAGCACTTGATCTAACCTCTGGGGTTTCCAGAGGTCCATGTTTTTGCTCTGTTAACGATTCGTACTATTTACAGATTTATGAGGATGAACACTGTTATTTTCACCTTTTCATGATTGAAATATCCATTCAGTATAACTATTCCATAAAGTAGTAAGCAAAACATCTGCCCTCTTTACAATATTCTTCCCGATTAAAATATGGACAGAAGTAAATCGGAGCAGAAAATTGTCTAAGGGACATCATGCTGCTACATACCTTGTACTGCATGTCTATATACCCTCTTTGCTGTTAATATCCCCTCCCTGTCTTAACCTTATATTTTAAGAAAAAAACATATTATTTAGATATTGGAAAATCTTAGTCAAAGTTGTGCTGAGTTTGATTATATCAAAGAAATACGTTCACATAAACATTCATGGATCAATAAATTGATTGTTATCTTACGCTCCATTATAATATCAATTTACAATAGAAACTTAATTATACCTTTATTACCCAAAAGTGAAGTGTTTCTGAGAGGTCAAATGTAAGAAATCAGGCTTTGTAAATTAAAAAAAAAATTGATGGTCCTGAATTTTGCACAAACTTAAATATGAAAAAAAGAGATTCATTCGGCAAATAATTGAATTATAACAGACAGCTATAGTGTAACATCCCTCGATTCGAAAAATTAAATGCACTTCATCAATAATGAAAAAGGATGAAGTTGATGAACATTGATCATCCTCATCCTGTAAACAACACGAATCGTGACCAAGTAATAAAACACAGACGTCTGGAAACACCTGAGGTAAGAACATAACCTTAGAGGAGTTAGCATCCCCGGTTGACTGGTCACAACATCCTGGGCCCTTTGTATTAATCAGGCAAACGGAGTTATCGGTAGTCAAAGGCATGTCAAAAAGTTTAGTCAAAGTCAAAGACCATGCAACAAATTTATTATTAAAATCCATTAATACATTTGTAAATAATTGACAACTATAAAATTTGAAACGATCACTTTAAACGAGATTGTGGAAAGCCTTATAACATCAACTTATTTGTCAGTAGACTGGCTGCCTTTGTGTATAAATTGAGTCTAAGTCGGCTTATAAAGGGACACAATAAGTGCTCATAAGGAACAGGTTGTTAGAATACAGAAGTTTTATTTTTTTACTTGTACATTTTGGACCAGAGTTTGTGCTTTATTTAAACTATTGTAATACATTTTTGTCATTTTGGGGGGAACATTAAGAAAATGGTGAAAAAACGCTACTCATGACTTCTTTAACCAGAGAAAAACCCGTTATTTTTAATCAGTATGTAGTAACCACGGGTCCAATTGATATTGAAAGCGTTGTAAATTTGCGAACAGATCGTTTCTTTCATTTTTGTAGAACTTTACTGGGCTAAATGCTGTCTATTGTGAATATTGTTCTATATTGTTCTATAAATCTCAAATTCAATGAAATATATGGAGATAACGAACAGTATTCAAGCTCAAAAGTCCATTATACAATACAAAATAGGAGCAGAGCAAACAACTAAGCCTTAAAGGGACAGTACGGCTCATATAATAAAAAAAAAACCAACTTAAAAAAATTTAGATGGGGATGGAGATTTATCTACTACTCATAAATGTATAAACTCTCAGAAAAGTATAGGTTTCGTTATCAAATATGTTTTATTATAACATTGAAATTATTTATTATTTATGGCCCGTAAAAGTACACATCACAACGTGTAAGGGATTCCGACTTCCATTCAATTCACACTTATGTTCTTATCACGGTTAGTAGTAGCAACCTTGCCAAAGTTTGAGAATTGAAAAGATAGCGTTACCAAGCCAATTGTCTGGCCAAAGTTTATTTGAGAAATAAGATCGTTGGATGACGGAGAAACGGGAGCTGGCCAAGTCTCATGCAGGGCTTGCAAAGATTTTACCAAACATATTTGTTGATACATGTTATCATTTCTCTTAACTCCATCGCTTTCAAAGAACAAAAAAAGTGCAAAAAGTGCAAACTCAACATAAAAATACACATGTTCTATAAATATTATTGTCATTTAAAGTGCAAATTATATAGTCGCTGATGGAACCTTGAAAATATTTTTTGACGTTTTGCCGTGATAACGTTTGATTTGGTGGTCCCCCCCCCCCCCCCGGCTCCAATATACAGAACGTCAACATTTATGGTTTTATTTCTTTAAAATGCCTCTAAAAGCAGATTACAAATTACACAATTAATAATTTATCGGAAAAGTTATGATATTTTGCGTTTGAGACGCGTTCTTACCTCATATTCCATTATGATTGTAAAGTCTCTGTATGAATGAAGAATTCTCGAATAGGACGTAAAACAACATACAATCAATAATCTCTACAGTTTAGCCACGTGTCATTCAGAATTCACGTGGTACACAAGATTGCTCCGATTTGTACGCATTTCCGAAAGATTCTTATTATTATAATTGGGTATAAGGAGAGAATACTCATGTTTCTCCAACTGTCGACATCAACTTTGTACCTTCTCTTTTAACGATATATTGGGTAAATTTGAAAGAAAAATCATACGTTTTGCAGCCGTACTGTCTCTTTAAAGTAAAAAAAAAATGTTTCTGAGTGGATTTTTTTTTCTTTGACTTATTTTTATTTTTCATTAAATTTGTGATCAATGATGGTCAGTATCACTGTCTTTTCCTTTTCCATATATTAAAAAGCTAATTCTTTTGTTAGTTTGTGTCCTTCCATCGAGGATTTAATATACTTTTTTCCTTTGGAGATTCCATTGAATTCATTCCCAAAAGTCTTATGGATATTCCTATAACCTCTCCCTGTATTTTTCAGACACCATTACTGGTCAGCTCCCCAGGCAAACGTTCATGTTCCTCCGGGACACAACTATGTTGCTAGGATGTATTTCAAGTTGCTTAATTTGCCGAGCAATGTGAATACTATAGAAGTCATCCTCATGGCTGCTGTAAATACTCACGGTAAAGAACACATACATGATGTCTTACTAAAGCAACTTGGTAGTTTGTAATGGAATATTAGTGAAAGCACAATATATACATTCTTTTAAATGATATGAGAAAAAGTCGTAAAATATAAATGAAATTCTCATTGAGATAATACAATTAATGCATATGGGAATAGAAAATGCATTTGGAGTCATCTTTTTTGAAAGAAGATGAACATAAACAATAATGATGCAAATATGATATATCAGAAATACATCTTGCACTTGAAAAAATATACACACAGAAACTTTCTCTATTATGTATAAAATTAATCGAATAAAGATTTAAACATAGAGACCGATACTACCTTTTTAATATTTTCTCTGTAGCTACAAAAAGAAAATGTCTGATCATTTGTTTTTACACACGCTAAAGACAAGTTTTGCATTAAAATGTAAATAAATATTTGTGTGCAGACTCAGGGTAATCCCCCTTCTTTTCAAGTGTTTTTCAGCACAATGCAATATTTTACAATAAAATGCCTATGATTATCTACGATTAAAAATAAGAATTGATTTTACGTCATCAAATTTATAAAAGTTACAGGACACAAAATTAATCTAAGTTTTTTGCCTAAGTGAACAGGTCCGGTGAAGATTACGAACAGTAATCGATCTCAAAAAACCTACAAACAATACAAATATGTAAACAGGGCTGTTACAACGCGAAATGTAATAAGAAGGCAAAATGTAATAAACTGGGATTATTACATTTTGCGTTATAACATTTTGCGTCGAGATCAACGCAAAATGTAATAACGCAAAATGTAATAATCATTATTCTATATTATAACATTTTGCGTTATTACATTTTGCGTTGATCTCGACGCAAAATGTAATAACGCAAAATGTAATAATCAAAAAAATGTATTATTACATTTTGCGTTGATCTCGACGCAAAATGTAATAACGCAAAATGTAATAATCCCAGTTTATTATATTTCGCGTCGTTATTACATTTCGCGTTGTAACACAGGGCATAAAACACGGACCCTTGGAAATTCAATTGCGTAGGAGGAATAAAACATTCCCCGTCGACCGGTCACACCCACCGTCACACCCACAGTCACACCCACCGTCACACCCACCGTGAGCCCTATGCATTGGTGAGGTAGACGGGATCTTCCAGAGTCAAATTTGTAATAAAAACAAAGTTCTAGCATTTTGTTATAATTTTTTTTTTCAAATTTTCATTAATTTAAGTGCATAGTTTATTTTAGAAAACGTCTTTATATCAATGATATCAAATATATTCCGTACTTTTTTATTTGCAGTTATATATGTTTTAATTAACACAGATAATACATTTAATTATTTTTTTTGTTATTATTTTCAAGGGAGAACCCACAGAATAAAAACTGCCGTGCTTCCCCATCAAGAACTGAGGTTCGGTTGGACAGAGATTAGCGGTGATTTCTTTGTACCAGCAGGTAAAAATTAATGATGAAATCAATAAAATAGTTAACTAAATAGGAGTTGTTTCAAAATTAGCTTACTTAATGAGACAAGATCTGAGAATTATTATTATTATTTTTTATTTATTTATTTATTTATTTATTTATTTATTTATTTTTTGGCATTACCGATTGCATATGGAACCAATTTTTACTTGATCTCATGTATTGTCGTATGAATAATTAAGTGGAAAGAAATTATTATAAAGTTAATTGAATAATTATAAAGCAGTAGAAAAATTCTTCTAACATAGTTCAATTGCATTGCTATCATAAATTGAATTTCAGAAATATTACTTTGATTTATTTTTCCTTTGCAAAGGTTCCACCAGTGTGAAGTTATTCCTACAAGTAACTGTGCCTTCTGTCAACTACTTACTGGATGACTGCAGTTTACAACAGCTCCCTCACAATCCACACTGGCATTCTGATGCTGTCAGTAGAATAGACAACACCAGGAAGGCGTCTGTGTCGCTCAGGTATCGTCAGCAATCAAATGTTAAATGAATGGATTGAGAGCCATTTTAGAATCCAGTCATAAAATTTAAAACATTATGAGAGGAATCTCCAAATCTATTCATAGGATGGCACATGGAACACACGCTGATGGTATATCAATACAGGTAATAATATTGTCCGATAGATAGATTATCTTTATAATTCATTTTGTATTCCATAATAATTACCTTCTAGGTTTGTAAAGGACTGTCCATAAAAAATACAGATTGTTCAAGTCCATGGACTTGGCTTTGCCTCGCCATCCATGGACCTGAACAACCTGTAATATCTTTTGTAGATAGTCAGTCAAATCTAAAAAAAAAAAATGTTAGTTTTGTCAAGGACAAATAGCAGTTAACAAATCTACCGAGATCAATTACAATAAACTGATTTCTCATCTGTGTAAAAATTCTACTCTTATCATCTTGTTCTTTACTGATTATATTACTGAAACGAATAGCTATTCTTAATTTAATCGAAGCATTGCCAAATCGGTAAGGACGTAATGAATTAAAAGCAAAAACAGCGCTTGCATTACGTTTTCCTTTTAAGTTGGATGACAAACCGTTGTTTTATCCGCCATATTGCTGTCAAAATTTTGCTATTCATCGTCCAGAAAAATATTAAAAGTATACATGTGACGTCCATTAACCAATGCCTGAGGTCATTCTAGTCCGATGAATGTCTTTCTTATTGATAACAACACGTTTTACAGCTTGCTCAAAAGAGACACGCCTTTCCGTTTGGTACAGCAGTAAGAGCATCTTTTCTTGTTGATGACACACACCAGGCCTATCAGAACTTCGTCTTCAACAATTTTAACTGGGTTGTTCTGGAAAATGCTCTAAAGTGGAGACTTCTTGAGTGGACAGAGGTTAGATATATAATTGAACAAAATAGCAAAGAAGACATAACATAAAAATGAAAACAAACCATGTTTTTAATTTCTATTTTGATCAACAGGGACATCCCAAATTTGATACAGCTGTAAGAGCCATATCGACACTACGATCACATGGGTAAACTGAGTCTTCTTCTCTTTCAATTTTTGTGTGGTTGTTCCTTGAATGGAAATGTCATATTGTATTCAAAAATACATGTTAATAATTCTAGATTGCATGTAAGGGGACATAATGTATTTTGGGCAGTAGATGGACATTCACCAAAGTGGTTAGACGGGAAATCTCATTCAGATTACATCAATGAAATGAAGAGGCACGTCAATGATATTGTGTCACATACCAACGGAACGTAAGTCTGGAGTCCTGGTAACAACTAAAAGCAGAAAACACATTTTCTTAAATTGATAACTTGTTTGCACTCTGATTCATTTTAGGGCAAAAAAATTTATTCAGATTAGCTGAAAGTTTATTTACTCTACAAACATGTAAGAATTTTACATAGTTATATGTTATACAAGATGCATGATCAGGAAGATGTGAAATACTTGGTTTTCAAATATTCAACTGCAACTGTTCTGCTGCTGGTAAGGCGCCATGGAGGTTCCGGAAAACTTTTGTATCCAATAAAAATCTATTCTTACAGGAGATGTTTTTGTGAAAGAGGTGTTTACATTGTTTTGATTATACTAAATGATAAAATTATACTGGTACTTTGCTTGAAATATAGTTTAGATCACTGGGATGTTTATAACGAGGCATTACATGGACGCTATTTTGAGGAACACACTGGGGACCCTGATATCATCCAGAAGATGTTCAACTGGCTTCATGTCGCTCAGCCCCAATCAAAACTGTTCCTTAATGACTACAATATTGTGAATTCAAATCTTTTTACTACAGTAAGTGTAAAAAGAAAATTCATAGTCAGGATTCATAGTAAGGAGAAAGCAACTGTTCTTTGATATAATTGTTAATAAAGCATATTTTTATTTTCCTTTCCGATTTTAAGGATGATAACATTGATGACACATTAAGCCAATTTTTTTTTATTTCTATAGGCTCTGAAAAACCAGGGAATGCAGCTAATTAAAGACAGAGTCCCGCTGTATGGAATTGGTATTCAGAGTCATTTCAAGACTTCTCATATAGACCTTGATGTCATTAAGGTACCGTATAACGGGTATTTTCTGCGGTTGGAAATTTTTGCGATTTAACCCCTAAAAGATAGCAAATTAATTTCTGCGTTTTCAATTTCTGCGGTTGCATTATACCGCAAAAAAATATTTACTGGGTATGATCACCAATCTCTAAGAATTAATTATCAGATAGCTGCCATGTTTACGTTTTATAAATTCATTGAGACATATTGATCAAGGTTGCATGAGAACTGGTATTAAGCTATTAAGCTTAATTAAACTACTATCTTTTCAGTTAGTCTTTGTAAAATTATGTCGAGTCCCAATTGAAATGAATTATTGCAGTATCGGTCCACCCAAACAACAACAAAAAAATCTTTATTCTACATTGTAACAAACGTTTTATGCGATCTATTAAAATATTTTAATATATAGATAATTAATGCATCCAAGCCATATTCTAAAAAATACACTTATAGTAAATTGCCATCAAAATTAATCTGGTGTTTATATTTTAAGCTCAAACAAACAGTTGCATAATCAAGTAACCTAAAGTTGACCGTGTACAATCACAGGTGCCATGTGCATTGAGGCGTAACTAATCCTGTCAGTCGTCTGCATTGTGTGAAATTCACAAGACAATCAAGCCACTTTGTGTATACAAGCAGTGATTATGGTCTCCAGATAAAACACAAGATTGAAAAAAGTGTTAAAGAAAGAAAGAAAAGCTACTATGTGTTGTTTGCAGCTATCGGAGTTTGGACTTCATTGCGAAATCTCTTTTAGTCATTTACATGTATATCCGTATAAAATAAAGAAGTAGGTACAAGAAAAGATGTTTATGTATAAACTTATTAAATTGATATTATTTACAGCAACGTTTTAATTCAATATGTTTTGTGAAAAATCCTGATATCTAAAATCTTCGAATTTCGATGACACCCGAATTTTCTCGCTAACGAGGACATACGCACCACTTACCATACTTGCATGTATAAAATATATATCTGAAGAAATATTGAAAAATATTTTGCGATTGTAATTTTTGCGGATTTGTCCTATCCGCAAAATTCCGCAAAAATTGGACAACCGCAGAAAATACCCGTTATACGGTATGTACTGCTTACCCATACACTTCAGTATTAATATAGTAGTTTATTTACTTATATCCACGTCCTTTGTACTTTCCAAGTAATTAACGATCAGTTTCTCGGTATTTCTAATCAAGAAGGAGACTGAACTGTTCTCGTCATATCATTTTCGTGATAATTTGGTATATAATGTTGTGAAACTTAACATCTGGAGACTCACGGTATACACTTATGCTTTATACAACAACTACTTTGCACTTATTATGTCTTTGTAGTATAGACTTGATAAAGTAGCAGAAGCTGGACTTAAAATCTGGATCACAGAGCTGACGATTCTAGAATCAGACAGCGCCAAAAAAGCTGCAGCTTTGGAGGACATTTTAACTCTGTATTTTAGTCACCCTGCGGTAGAGGGGGTTCTGTTATGGGGGTTCTGGGACGGAGCAATATATGATCCCAATGTGTCACTGTTTACAGGATCTTCTATTACGGTAAGTATAGCAACATGTATCAACTAGCTATGGCAACTTTTACAAAATATATCACTGTTTACAGTATTATTTATAACGAAAAGTATAACAACATCTATAGCCTCAAACTATCACTTTTCCAGGAAATTTCTTATAAATTGTGGAATTGAGGGTACAGCTGTATACATCCCTGTTTACAGAATGTTATATAACTTTAAGTGCATGTATATATCTGTCAGCCCTCCTTGTCACGATTTATCGTGTCCAATAGTTTGTGGACGTAGCGCTCCATATCTTCCCAAAGTATAGTGTTACAATGGCCATCAGTCGCCTGCGTCGCGCAATGGTAGAGCGTCTGCTCTAGAGTCGAGGAGTAAGGAGTTGATCCTTACGTTGCGTGTTTGAGGAGGACGTGGAGACCGATCCTTCGGACGAGACCGTATGAACCGAGGTCCCGTGTTGCAGTAGGTGTTGGCACGAAAAAGATCCCTCACTGCTCAATGGCCCATAGTGCCGAGCATAGGTCAAAATTTGCAGCTCTCCACCGGCAAGTGGTGGCGTCTCCATATAAGTAAAAAAAGGGGGTGCTTTAAACAACAATCAAACAAAACAAAACAATGGCCAACCCACCGAACCGTCTTATTTTAAAAACATTTTACCATACCTATATAGTTACATGTTATTTCAGAAACGAATTAAGAGATAACTTGTTTTCTAGAAGAAAACCAAACGCAGATTATGTATCGGCATACTACTACAATGCAATTTGTTGAAGTCCTTAAATTTGCAAATTGTCTTTTCCATCTGAAGAAAATATGACTTTATTAAATGAAATAAAAGAAAACTAAATGCATTAACAGACATAAAAACAAGGGGCATAATATTGAGATCTCAAGCAAAATGGTGTGAAGAGGGAGAAAAATCTACAAAATACTTTTTGTCTTTAGAAAAAAGAAATTACAGAAATAAGTGTATAAATAGGTTGGTAGTTAATGACAAAATTATATGTGATAAAAATGAAATCCTCAAGGAAGAAGAAAGTTTCTTTGAAAATCTCTACTCAACTAATTTAGAAAAAAAAAAACAACTATCAAAAACATATTCGTTATTTTGTGGACTGTGAAAATATTCCAAAACTTACTAAAGAAGATTCTCTAACATGTGAAGATTTAATTAGTAAAGATGAATGTGAAAATATCTTAAAAGAATTTAAATTAAATAAATCTCCAGGAAGTGATGGACTTCAATTTGAATTTTATAAGTTTAATTAATAATGGGTATTCCTCCTCCTTTTTCAAGATTTCTCGAGGCGTTAGACAAGGATGTCCTTTATCACCTCATCTATTTATTTTATGTGTTGAATTAATGGCTATTGCAATAAGATCAAATAAAAGTATTCATGGTTTAAGAATTGGTGAAACAGAATTTAAAATCAGTCAGTTAGCAGATGACACCACTTGTTTCTTAAATGATGAAAAATCAGGATTTGAAGTATTGAGAATCATCCAAAATTTTAAATATTGCTCTGGTTTAAAGATCAATCTAAATAAAACAGAAGCCATATGGATTGGTAGCTCTAGGAATTTTCCTCCAGGAAGTTTACCAGTGAAATGGTCCAATGGTTTATTTTTTACACTTGGAATCTGGTTTAGTGTACATGGGGAATATGACTGTTTAGTTAAAAATTTCAATTCCAAATTAGATGATATTAAAGCAACTCTCAATCTTTGGAAAATGAGGCATCTTTCTTTGATAGGAAGGATTTTAATAACAAAAACACTAGCAATTCCAAAAATTATTTATCAAGCAACTGTATTACCCATTTTCAATGAGTTTATAAAAGAAATAAACAAATTAATAACATCTTTTATATGGAATAGTGAAAAACCAAAAGTTAAATTAACTGTAGCATGCCAAAAAATAAACAAGGGTGGACTTAAAGTTCCAAACTTTGAATATCAGGTTAAGTCACTTAAGAATGTATTGTTTTAACAATAACCGACCAGAATGGTTCATGATTTTTCAAGCTTATTTAGAAGATATAGATTTACAAACTCTACTTCAATCAAAATGCTGTATAGATATTTTAAACATTTATATACCACAATTTTATATGGATATTTTAAATTGTTGGAAGGAATTTAGAACTTATGATAATGTTTGTATTGAACCTAAAATATTTAAGAAAATTTTATGGTTTAATGATAAAATAAAGATAAACAATTTATCCATCTTCTGGGGAAAATAGTACAAATGTGAGATACTTTTTGTAAGTGACATTATTGGTGAAAACAAAGACTTTTTAAGTCATGAAGATATTGTCAAGCTCTATGGAATAAATGTTTCTTTCCTGGATTACATATCTATAAAAATTTCTATATTGTAGTAAGAGAAAATTAGAAGATTTTTACAAAGAATTGCAAAAATTATTAGAGAATTTGGAAAACTGATTAAAAGTATTTTTATACATGATGCGCAAAAACATATTCAATTTTTAGACTTTTTTATTATATAAGATAATTTTAAGCAATAATCATTATATATTCCTTCTGCAATGTTACATGTTTGTATTTTATCTTAATTTGTAAAATGTAAGAGCCTACAAAAAAAATTGTCTTTTGCAGGCAAATGCTGCTGGACAAAAATACTTAGATTTGGTGAAGAAGACATGGTGGACAGATTACACCCATATGATTACTTCCGGTCAAGTGTTACATACCAGTGTGTTTAAAGGAGATTACCAACTTCTAGTTAAGCACAATGGAAATACAATTCATCGAGAAAACCTGGCAATTGATTCTGCAGGAAAGGATATTACAGTCCATGTAACAGGTATGCTCACTTTCTAATTTTGGAATAGAGATTAAAAAAAACCGCATTTACATAGTTTCTGAACGTGGCGTTGAAAAGGGAAATAATCCATTGTTTCCTTTCAGATTACCATCAAGTGACACAGATTGCATTTGGATAAAGAAATATCAAAGGGACCCACAGAATTATCTTTCCTTCTTATTTAAATCAAAATTTGATTTGAATAGTTGGTAGCAAAAGTCTACGTGTATATTTCCTGACTTTTTTTAAAATGAGAAATGGAAGTCATGTTCAGATACGGATTATTTTGTTATACATATCAGGAAAGTTTGTAACTTTACATAAAGAGTTCCTTTTATTTTTATCTTATTGCAAATTCATATTAAGAGGTATTTAGCTCTTATAATTTATTGCAAATCAGACATGTATCTATTCGTTTGTACAATATACCATTATAGAAAAGAAGAGGGTCAGCTGCAATACATTTTACAGCTTTATATATTAGCTTAATATAAGGAAAAAGTATTACACGACATGCATTTAAATTAAATTTAACTTCCTCATCAGCTGTATGTTATTCTATTGTCACTCTGATGAGTCTATAAGGGGCATCGACTCTTAACAGGCCGGTCGGTGCCTCTCGAATCACAGTCATCAATCATCTAGATTAACAACAAAGATCCTATATTCATCAAACAGCAGTGGTTTTCCACTTTCTGTAGTGTCTTCCAAATTGTACACACTGTCGAAAAATTGTATATACTAATTATAAATCAATGATTTGAATATATTCTATTAATCTCCAGTTGTACATTTTTGAAAAAATATTTTATCCTTGACTTCCTTTCAACTGTATTAAAATATAATTTTATGATTGGACACAGTTCCGTTCCGATGACTGTCCTCACTTTTTCTGTCAATTTAAGAATTACTTCTAGAATTTGACGAAAATGCGCCTTAAAATTACACACGTTTTATTTAAAGGCTATGAATCTGTATTTTGTGATTATTTTGATAGAGTTTGAAACAAAGCTATACTGAAAATTTCAATTTTCAAGACCTTATAGAAATCAAGTTAACTTGTACGACTTCGATATGCTGGAGCATGATACTATTTACAACTAAAAACTTCAGTTGAATATCAGTATGAACTATTACTTTTTGCAACGAGAACCGTCCAGCTCCCACACTCCCTTATGGTGCCCATTCCCTACTTTATTTGATGAGACAAATCTTTTGTATTATAGATCTACAGTTTAGTTTCCAAAGTATTACATCGCAAAAACAGTGGCGATATAGCCGAATGAGTATAAGCCAATCTAAATCTTCAACCGTTTTTCAAGTTCGTTCAGGAGGGGGTGAGAGAATAAAATCCCCTTCTCTCGTAAATAGCATTTTATTCTGGAGCACACGTAACTTTCGAATTATCATGTTATGAACTGTTGATTAGTTCCAATATTATACATATAGAGAGTTGAATATGTGAAACATGGTCAGATTACTTGAAAGAGTTAATACGATGAGCAAATAACAAAGCATAAAAATTTCTTATTTGGTGCAACGTTTTTTTTTTTTCAAAAGATTTGTCTTAAATGCATCTTATTAGATAGAAAAAAATAATAACAGATGGTGTAACTTTTGATCACGTGCATCTATTAATCCTTAAATATGTCATAAGAAAATGAATTGTCCATGTTGATGCAGGAAAAATATCCTTGTTATGGAGCAATGAGTAGTTTATTAAATACATGTACTTATTCATGTAATATGTAATTTTTTAAATCGGAAAAGACAAGTAACATTATATATATATATATATATATATATATATATATATATATATATATATATATATATATATATATATATATATATATATATATATCAGCAGCAGCAGCAGCGTCATTATATATATCAATATAATATATTTATCGATTATTTATCAAAATTTATCGAGTGTATAGTTAGTTTATGAAAAAAACCCTGTTAAAACATAATCTGATCTTTCCTCTGAAAAATCTAGGTTACTTGCAGCATCTGAATTATAATTACACATCTACAACCATAGTAACACGCCGGGATTGTAAAGAAGTGATATTATGTATAACTCTTATCAAACTTATTTAACCTTTCTTTGTCTGATAAAAGGTTGAAGTGAAAAATATAGTACACCACACTTTCTTAGCTTATCAGATAATGCACACACTTCCTCTGTTAATACGATTGTATTTTGTTGCCAGCCTCGTGGATGCTGCAACAGAATACCTTCATAATGCCGACTTTGAGAGCACAAGTTTTAGCGGGAACTGGGTTTGTACGAATTGTACCATGACGTCCTACACAGCAGACGTATATCATGGAAGTAGATCAATCAAGGTAACAAACAGGTGAGAGATATGGAAAGTTGAACTCATCAGAATGACAACATCAGTGAATAAATTTCCATGTAGGAATCAAGTACGTTTCTTTCTTGTTTATATGTACATGCAAACCAAGTCTTAAGTTTCCAATTCAGTGAATTTGTTAGCGTCAAAAGAAGAAGTTAAGATTCAATACATGAATTTTACAGTCCACTTTACTCTCTAACAAAGAAGCAAGCAAACGTCCAGTAAACAAGCTAATGCAAAGAATTAATGGCCTGCACTCAAAGGCAAGACCTCTGATGCTTTGAGAGATCCGTGCTTGCGCTGCTTGTATTGTTTCAATCTTAAGTCGTTCGATTAAAATTGTGTTTTATCTTCACGCAGTAGTTTCATACAAAAGTACTTACTATTTAAATGTTTTTAAAATGGTAAGTTATATCTCAAAGGTCATCCTGACTTGAGTGAAATATTTTTTTCAACAAAAATATCTGTCTAATTTTCCACGCCACTAAAATGATAAACTTTCTAGTCTGATTTTTATTGTCATTTACTTTTCATGATATTGTATTTCACTTTCAGGAATTCAACTCATATTTTTCTTTTTATAAAAAATCGAATTTTTTTTTGGAGACACCATTGAATCTGGATAGTTTTTAATTACCTGTACTGTCCTTATAACTTTCAGAAACCATTACTGGTCCGCTCCCCTGGCTAACGTTCATGTTCCTCCGGGACACAACTACATCGCTAGGATGTATTTCAAGTTGCTTAATTTGCCAAACAATGCGACTACTGTAGAAGTCGACTTAATAGCTGTAGTCAACACCTATGGTAAGATCTAATGGTACAACCGGTCACAGTAGCCTAGTGATAGGGCGTTTGCTTTGATAAAGATGTCCGGGTTCGATTTTCGTTCGCCGCGCCGCGTCAAACCTAAAGGAAAACACAGTTTTTATTGTTCTTTCGCCAAGTATAGGCCTAACTTTGAAGCCCTTCGCCGTTATATGGTGACATCTCCATAAGAATGAAAATTTTCGAATGAGCGTTAATCAACAGCCAATCAATCAATCAATGTAATGGGACATACAGGGTATCTACTTTAATAAGTTGACATTTGGTAGTGGGACCGATGCAAAGTATGAGGGGACAGGTACTTTTTAGGGCATTCATGGGGTGGTACAATCAATTTGTTCACAACAGTAATGTAGATTAGACATTTAGCCTCAATAAAACTGCATGAAGCGAGAATTCTGAGTTAAAATAAATTAACTATTTTTGAATATGTATGTAAATACCTAAATACGAAACTATTAATACTAATATTTGAATATGTACGAGGGTTGTCCCAGAAAAACGCGAACATTTACAATATTCATAATTAAAATGAAATAATGAGAAAAAGAACAGTATTCAAGCTCAAATTCCATTAAAGCAATACATATTGGAAGCAGAACAAACACGGATGTAAAAAACAATAAGAGGTGGGATCAGATGCCATGGAGGAGTGAGCATACCCTGCCGACCGGTCACACCCGCCAAGTGCTCCTTGTCATTTTCGAGAGGAAAAAAAACAGAAAAATTCGTCGACAACTCAGTGTGTAAATAATGGCCTAACAATTAGTATGTATGAAAAATTTCAGTCAGCATATGACTATAATAGATTGTATTTGATGACAAGGTCATTGTATCGACCTTAGAGCTTATGAAATGATGACTTTAAACGAGACTGTTGATATTCTTGTTTTATCAACTTGTTTTTCAATAACTTACCTCGTTTTAAAAATTGTTCATACGTAGAGCATGCTCTGACGTATCGAATCAACTCAGATGATTGATCTTAGATAGTGGCTGTCTGCGCAACACCGACGAGAACAACGTAGTTCGTGGCATATGTAAAACTGTTCAGAAATTCTGCTTCTTTTCTTTAGAATTTTAAAATTTCGTTTGAAATTAAACATTACATTTGATTTTCAGTTTTTAACCGGGTACCTGTCTCACACATTCTAGTGTCATAGAAAGATCGCATAGTTAATTCTTTGAATAGAGTATTTCCCAACCCTGAAGATTCAATGAAATATATGGAGATAACGAACAGTATTCAAGCTCAAAAGTTCATTAATCAATACAAAATAGGAGCAGAGCAAACACGGACCTCCAAACATCAGAGGTGGGATCAGGTGCCATGGAGGAGTGAGCATCCCCTGCCGACCGGTCACACCCGCCGTGTGCTCCTTGTCATGATCGGGAAATAACGGAAAAATCCGTCGACAATTCAGTGTGTAAATAATGGCCTAACAATTAGTGTGAAAAACGTCAGTCAGCATTTGACTCAATGATAAATTGTATTTGCTGACAAGGTCATTGTATCGACCATAGAACTTACGAAATGATGACTTTAAACTTCTCAAGAAGATGGTCTCCACGTATTACGTTCTGCTTCTTACTTTTTAGTATGTCGTCATTCTTTTTACCGAGCGTCTTTCTATATCTGAAAGAGATTACAAACTAATAGTATATCGTCAAAATAACATAGATATCATTTCCCAACATTGTTAAAAAATATTAATTTTAGTCAGGTACTGTGCGAGATAACTATGAAGTTCACGATTTTGTGGGACGATCCTCGTATTATTTTATTAATTTAAATTATATTATATTATTATTTTATCTTCTTTTTTTACAATTTAGACCTACCCTTATGGTAATTCACTCCTGATTTGAGTTGTATCAAGGATTTTTTAAGAAGTTTAGAAGTATTGTTTCATGATACTGAAATACCACCTCATTTTCAAGATACAATTCATCAATTAAATATACAAGGCAACCAATTCCCTCCAAATGCACACATAAAATATTCTAACAATAAAATCAAATATAATATGCATTCTAACCTTAGGTTTCTCTCTCTCTTTTATAATTTTTGACCGGTACTTAATCCGAAACTATCCTCTGCCACCGTACTTTTATCGTATATTGCAATGATGAACAAGCATTCTGAGAGTATTGCATTAGCAATACTAGTCCCCTACCGGCAAGTGTAATCTGGTTAAGAATTGAAAATGCCATAATTGCGTCAAAAATTAATGAAGCGGGACGAAATGCAAACTTTGATCTATAACTAATCAAGGTAAAGCCACATACCAAAAATCAGCTCAATATCTACAAGCCTTTAGAAGAAAATTGCGGAAAACCCGTAAAAATTGATCCGCAAGATCCGCGCGCTCATTGCACTATGACGTAAGATTTACGTCACTCAACTGATTAGGGTTGGTTTTGCACATTTTTCGACTGGTTAGGATTAGTCTTTCACCCACCTGAAAGATTAGGGTTAGTCCTTGCATAAGTTTTCGACTGATTAGGGTTAGTCTCGCATATATCCGAGAGATTAGGGTTAGTCCTCGCACATGGGTTAGTCTAGCATGGTCTAGCATCCGCCTGGGAGATTTGGGTTAGTCCTCGCATACCATCCGAGAGATTAGGGTTAGTGTCTTGTTCTTTTAGATTAATTAAGAAATTCAGTTGCATCTGTATTTTTTGCAAGATCTTAATTCAGCTTCAACGACATCTCTTTGGTTTGTTTACATGAAAAAAATGGCTAAGTACGAAAGAAACGGCACTAAGCATGCGCCGCACGCGCTTCGTTCACAATTATTTTTTGTCTCCTTTTCACTGAATAAACAACATTTATTACTTTTTTTCAGAAAACGAGGTTAAAAACTTCGTTTATAAACGAAGTTTTAAACTAAACTTTTAACCGTAGAATTCGAATGTGGGGTCAAAAAGGCTTAAAACCTCATATTTTTTTATTTTTTTCGATCGCTCACGCGATCTCATATATATTGAAGTCGCCTACGGCGACACTATATTTTAGCGCGTTTTTCTGGGGACCGGTAAAGTAAAGTCGTTCCTGATTTTATGTTATCGGATTTATTCGGTCACAGTCATGAATTCGGTCAATATTTAAATTTCCTTAAATTTGTTAATTTTCATTTATTTTAAGGCATGTTTTAGAAAAAAAGAAACACAATCAAGTCTCTATATTTGCATGCAATAATATCAGAAACATTTTGTGTATAAAAATCTCAGTAACGCTATATTCAACACATTCTTTTCAAAAATCAAAGGTACTTACTGATTGCCATTTAGCAGCTTCCTCAGTGTATTATTCGAATCAAAATAAATGTGTTTTCAAACTTCTTAGTTACAGATTTTCCAATTTTTATTTATTTTTTTTTATTTTTATTTATTTATTTATTACGATTTTGATTTTGAAAGACAAATAAAAGCCGAATTTGACCTTTACATTACTTTCTTCCCTTATACATTTTAATCTGGTAAAACAGATATTTACAATTAATTATCGGCTTTATTTTTTTTTTTTCAATCTTTCAAGGGAATATTCACAATATAAAGGTTGTGGTACTTCCTTATCAAGAATCGAGGTTCGGCTGGACAGAAATTAGCGGCGATTTCTTTGTACCAGCAGGTAAAAATTAATTATAAAATTAGAACGTAGATAAGAGGATGAAAGTTTATTGAAAGGGAAGTTGTTTATAAAAACATTGCCTTATTTTTTAAGGATGACTTTTTCTTATATGACACAAATAATTCTAATTATAGGAATGAAAAACTGCCTATTGTACACTGTTGCCCTATGATTGGCGTGTTATTATTCACTTTCAAATAACTAGGTCATTTTTACCGTCTTTTTAATCTAATATTACAGAAATCTGAATGATAGGAACCATAAACTATTTATAATCTCAGTTAACTTATATTTCCCTTATTCTGTTGGTATTTAAAGTTTGAATTTAAGTCAATGATCAAATTCTTGAGATATATTGTCTGGGATTTTTTGATAATCATCATTGCATGTCATCCAATTATTTAAAATATAAAAATGAGCTTTAACATAAATAAATTTAAAAAATGATGTTTAAAACAAATGCAATCTTAACTCTCAGAGAATTATATCGCAAGAAAAACAAATTTTGTAAAATAATGAAAAATTAAAGTTTAGTTCGAATTTCTTCTGCATCACAATAGATTTACTTTTTTCTTGAATATTTTTTTTTAAATAATAAAACATTAATTTTTGAAATTGATATTAATTTATTACATGGTTTTTGTGTCTTTTAAACCTTTTTTAGTTAAGATACTGTACATTAAAGCAATCCGTTTCTGTCAACTAAAACCATGAGTAATCGTTATCCTTAAGACGTTATGTCAAGTTTTTTTTGTATTATCGATCTAATCTTATCTATTTTAGCAATAACTACTTTTGGGTGTTCTTTTTTAAAGAAATGTTTTGATTATATAATAAGCTAAGCAAAATAATTCATGAAAATAACTGTGCTCCAATGGGCTAGTACTCTCCCAACCGCAGCACTCAGAAAAATTCAATAGCCTACAAGTCTTTTCATGCATTAAATCCGAATTTTTTTTAAAATTCATATGACCATTGTGTTAGGTTCCACCAGTGTGAAGTTATTCCTACAAGTAACCGTGCCTTCTGTCAACTACTTACTGGATGACTGCAGTTTACAACAGCTCCCTCACAATCCACACTGGCATCCTGTTGCTGTCAGTAGAATAGAAAACATCAGAAAGGCGTCTGTGTCGCTCAGGTATCGTCAGCAATAAAATTTTAAATATATGAAATTGATAGTTATTTTAGAATCCAGTCATAAACATATAACATTTGGAGATGAATCTCCACATTTATTCATAGGATGGCACATGGAACACACGCTGATGGTATATCAATACGGGTAATAATAGTGTTTCATAGATACTTAGTAACCTTTAAAATTTGATTCAAATACTTATATATCAATAACTATTTCATTCAAAGAAGAACATTTTGACAGCTTGTTCAAAAGAGACACGCCTTTCCGTTTGGTACAGCAGTAAAAGCATCTTTTCTTGTTGATGACACACACCAGGCCTATCAGAACTTCATCTTTAACAACTTTAACTGGGTTGTCCTGGAAAATGCTCTAAAGTGGAAACATCTTGAGAGGACAGAGGTTAGATATATATTTGAACGGAATATCCTAAAAGACATAACATATTAAAAGTGGAGAACTGTCTTTTAGTTTATATCTTGATTCACAGGGGCATCCTAATTTTGATACAGCTGTAGGAGCAATATCGAAACTACGATCACATGGGTAAACTGAGTCTAGTTAATTTTTTAATCTGTGTGTCACAATGGTAAATAAAATGGTCCTCTTTCTTTTTCTAAACGGTGTCGTATGAGTGAAAGGGTCTTCTTTCTCTTTCGATTAGAGTGTTAAACTGGTAAAATGTTTTCTTCTCTTTATCTTAATTTGTGTGTCACATGGGAAAAATGTGTCTTCTTTATCTTTCAATATGTTTTTGGTTGTTAAATGGAAATTGTCAAGTTGTATTCAGAAATACTTTAATGTTCCTAGATTGCATGTAAGGGGACATAACCTATTTTGGGCAGTAGACGGACATTCACCGAAATGGTTAGACGGAAAATCTCATACAGATTACATAAATGAAATGAAGAGACATATTAGTGACGTTGCGTCACATACCAATGGGACGTAAGTTTGAGTCCTGATTACAATTACAATAAATTTTCTGAAAATATTTTTATCCAAATGAAATTTTTTCCTACACATTCAGTTTTTGAGGGGAGGTGTTTTAATAGTCTTTTGATTAATCAAAATGATAAAACCGTATGGTGCTTTGCGTGAAATATAGTTTAGATCACTGGGATGTTTATAACGAGGCATTACATGGACGTTATTTTGAGGAACACACTGGGGACCCAGATATCATCAAAGAGATGTTCCGTTGGCTTCACGTCGCACAACCCCAATCAAAACTGTTCCTCAATGACTATAAAATTGTTCCCTCAAATCTTTTCACAACGGTGAGTATTATTATATTCCTACTGAATTTCAAATAATGTTTTAACAATATGAAGACGTGACTTTACATATTAAACGAATTCTTTTTAATTTCTGTAGGCTCTGAAAAACCAGGCGCTACAACTACTTAAAGACAGTGTTCCGTTGTATGGAATCGGTATTCAGAGTCACTTCAAGACTTCTCAGATAGACCTAGACGTCATTAAGGTACAAACTGCTTACCTATATGTTTTACAATTTATAAAGTAAAGTCTGAACATTTTTTTAATCATGTTCTTTTTTTAAACCATTTAGTTTCTAAATAGTTTCTAAATGGCACAATCTTTATTAGCAGATTCTCAGTATATGTAGGACAAATGCGTTAAATTAAAGCTCGAAAATATGACTTTGCAGTATAGACTTGATAAAGTAGCAGAAGCTGGACTTAAGATCTGTATCACAGAACTGACGATTCGAGTAGCAAACAGCACCAAAAAGGCTGCAGCTTTGGAGGACCTTTAACTCTGTACTTTAGTCACCCAGCGGTAGAGGGGGTACTCTTGTGGGGGTTCTGGGACGGAGCCATACGTGACAAGGATGCTTCACTGTTTACAGGATCTTCTATAACGGTAAGCATACCAACATAATCATGAGTGACCCCCAAAAAATCACTGTATACAGGTTCTTCTAACGGTAAGCATAGCAACATGATCGATATCATTTTCTATTGTGGTAGGTACAACAACATCTATCAACTCAAAATATCAGTGTTTACAGAATCTTCTACCAAAGTTGGTATAGCAACATGTATAGACTTAAAATATTACTGTTTATATACCACTGTAAATATAGCAGCATGTATGAACTCAAAATATCACTTTTCAGTACCATCTATAACATAGGAATAGAAACATAAATGGTCTCAATATATCATTGATTACAGGATCTTCTTTTTAATCTTGAGTATATTTCTCTAGATCTAGACCTTAAATAGATGTAATTAGAGGTATACCTGTATGCATCCCTGCTATCAGAATGTTATATAACTTTGAGTATGTACACGTAAATCTACTTTGTCACTGTTTCAATGTTCAACAGCATCTATATAGTTACATGTAATTTCAGAAATGAAGTTAAAGAAGGCCTGTTTTCTAGCTAAGAGATTGAATGTGTGCTGTTTAACGTCCTGTTCGAGAATTTTTACTCATAAAGAAACGTCACCAAATACCGGTGAATGGCTTCAAATTTATACTTTTATTCGGCATTTAGGGCCATTGAGCAGTAAGGGATCTTTATCGTGCCAACGCCTACCGTGACACGGGGCCTCGGTTTTTAAGGTCTCATCCGGAGGACCCGCAACTTTCACTTCAAAGTGCCGAGCGCTTGGCGAAGGAACAGTTACTACCTATTTTTTATCTACTTAGGTCAGTCGCGGATGTGATTTTAACACACGTCCTTCCGATCACGGAGCAAGCGCTCTGCCGAGTGCGCTACCGTGACGGTACTAGCAAAATGAACTTTGCATTATATATCTTCACTTTATTTCAATGTAATTTATTGAAGTACTATAGTAATCAAAATGTAAATTGTCTTTTAAAGGCAAATGCTGCTGGACAAAAATATTTAGATCTGGTGAAAAAGACATGGTGGACAGACTACACCCATATGATAACTTCCGGTCACGTGTTACGTACCAGTGTATTTAAAGGAGACTACCAACTTCTAGTTAAGCATAATGGAAATATAATTCATCGAGAAAACCTGGCAATTGATTCTGCAGGAAAGGATATTACAGTCCATGTAACAGGTATGCTCATTTATCTAATTTTGGAATAGAGATTAAAAAAAAAAACAAAAACAAAAAAAAAACAACCTGGTAATAGATTATTCAGGGAAAGATATAACAATCCATGTTACAGGTATTCTTATTTAAAAAAAAATTATATTCAAAAAGTTCTGCAACTGATTGTCTTAATGAAGAGTTGCTAAAAGAAATAATTCTGGTTCTGGTTTTCTTTCAGACGACCATCAAGTAACACAGATTGCGTTTGGCTAAAGGACAGACAAAAGGGAATGACAGCAATCACATTCATTTTTAATTGAGGAAGTACACTGCTGAGTGAAAGAATATACATGTTTCAAAAATATTTATGATTACTATTTATTTAATATAATTTTTATATTTATTACTTATTTTGTTTACAAAACGGATCAATTGTTACGTCTACTAAACCTGTTAGATGATAAATTAATGATAATTGGATTATTGACAGATAGGTAAAATTTTCAGCCCATGGAAGCACAAATGTGCACAAGATAGGGATAAGATTTTTTGCTCACACTTACTAGACTTTGGCAAGAGGAAAAGAGTTCCTTTCTTGCAACGCGAGGGATTTGTCCATATTCATATACGGAAGATGTAGCAATGTTACCACAGAGTCTGACTTATCCGTTTCATATTGAGGTATTTTACTAGAAAAAGACGTTAATGGTGACCTTACAACAAAACTTTATGATAAACGTGATGACTTCAACTTTTCTATCATCAACCCCCTTTACTTATGTAGCCATATACCTTTATCACTTGCATATGGAGTTTATATCTCCCAGTTGAATCGACACGCAGGAACATACTCTACATACGAACAATTTCTAAAACGAAACAAGCTATTGACAAACAAGTTGATGAAAGAAGGATATCAACAGTCTCGTTTAAACTCATCATTTTGCATGTGCTATGGTCGATACAATGACCTTATCAGCAAATACAATCTATCATTAAGTCGAATGCTGAATGACGTTTATGATACAAATTGTTAGGCCATTATTTACACACTGAATTGTCTACGGATTTTTCCGTTTACCCGATCATGACAAGAAGCTTACGGTGGGTTGACCGGTCAGCAGAGGATGTTTACTCCTCCACCCCACCTGATCCCACCTCTGATGCTTGTAGGAGTTCGTGTTTGCTCTGCTCCCGATTTGTATTGTTTCAATGGGCATTTGAGCTTGATTACTGTTTCTTATCTCCAATTTTCATTTTATAATTATATTTCTGTTAACAATGATCCCTAATTGTAACCTTAAACCAATTCTTAGGCCTATATATTAAATATATATTGATTCAATTAAATAAGTTGAATCAACACTAGATGAACATCCATTCATATAACTAAATTTGACTCTCCTGTATTTGAGGAAAAGTTTTTCCCGACTTGAATATGTTTTTGTCCCTTTATACTGGTTCTATATTAGCTATGAAGATCATGATTAAAAAAAAATTCACTACATGGAAATGCTAATATGTTAATATATTCAAGCACGGCCCTACATATTTTGAGAAAAGATTTTTAATTTTTTTTTTTTTGGGGGGGGGGGGGGAGGGGGGGGGGCAGGGGGATTTTCCAGTCAGGTATTGTTGTCCCAACATACCTTTCGTGAATCATGTTTTCAACAATTTAATTAACATTGCATGGGGAACTGTCATATGAATATAATTTACCGTCGATTTTTAAATGGTTGTCTTCATAGATTATTCCATGTTAAACTCCGATCCCTATTGTGGACTTTTCCTAACCCAGAGGTCAATATTTGAATTCAACTCTGCACTAGATATGCATGCTTCCATATTCATATATCATATAACCTTATACATGTACTGCCGTTCATGAGATCTCTTTTTTGTCGCCCTGCCCTAAACCAGTAACAGGGATTTTAACAAACTAGGACCTACTCCTAAGGAAGCTCTAAACACTGCTCACTGAAGAGTTGATTCCATAGTACTTCTATGCAGTAAGAAAGATCTGACGTGAAATAAAATTAAAGACAACTCACAATAGATGACACAATTTGAGATAGATTGAATTATTTTTTTCTCAAATTTTATAATCAGACAGAAGTAAATTAATAGGAAACATTAAATGCACGTTTTCCCCAGTGTAAATGAAAAGTAGTACTTCATTGTCTCTAAACATTTTTTCTAAAGAAATATGACAGGTATTCTTCATTAGAAATGCACTCGATAAACCCAATATGTAACCTTTACATCAAGTCCAAAAAGGCATTCTTCAGAGCTCCCTTAATAAGGAAGTTTCCCTATAACTTTTATCTTTTTTGTCCATTGATTTCGTTGGAAGATTTTTAAATGACACTGTCCTACTTACCATTTCTTAATTATCTCCCCTTGAAAAGGAGTTATGCCTTTATTTGCATAAAAACTCGCCTTTTGTTTTCCCAAAAAATGCACTTATCTTGTCAATTCTTTGTTGTTGTTGTTGTTGTTATCGTTATTGCTGTTTAGAAGAATTGACACAAAAGTAGTGTAATGATGATTTTTATTTATAAGTACATGTTTTTTTAGAATATCCAGTAAATTCAAATTCATCAATTATTTCATAGGAATATTTTTACAATACATTTATACACAGTAATGAATCGACATAAGGTCTAGAAGACATAAAAAAGTTCCTATTTTGAATTGATATTGCCTTAATATATACATTGCTCATATTTCCTGTGATAAGGTACATATGTTGGTTTCTTAAAAATCTAAAGACAGTGTCCTCAAAACTCCAACAAACTCCAATGTGTTCGAATCACGACTGAGACTGACCTAAGTCGATAAAAAAAAAATGGGTAGCAACTGTTCCTTCGCCAAGCGCTCGGCACTTTGAAGTGAAAGTTGCGGGTCTTTCGGATAAGACCTTAAAAACCGAGCCCCTTGTCATGGTAGGCGTTGGCACGATAAAGAACCCTCACTGCTCAGGGGCCCTGAGTGCCGAGTAAAGGTCTAAAATTGAAGCCCTTCACTGGTATATGGTGATGTCTCTATATGAGTGAAAAATTCTCGAATGGGGCGTAAGACAACATACAATCAATCAATCAACCAACAGGCTCCAATCATTCTATGCCTGTAAATAAAGATTTGAAAAATGTCAGGATGTGGTACAATCTAGCAATTTGATATTTGATTATGAAATCACATATTTATATCACAGTATATCGTTTAATGTGAATGACAGTATGAAAACGTATCAAAGAATTACAGGGCACCTGATCCAATCTCTGCTGTTTTTTTATGTCTGTGTTTGCTCTGCTTCAAATTTGTATTTTTACGATGGACTTATGAGTTATCTTCATATCTAATTATTATTTATTAAATAGAAATCATGCATTAAAAATTTCTAATGAACAACGCATCAAACCCAAAAGAGCATATTTCAATCAAACTAGTAAGAAAAAATGAAACAGTTTTTCATTTCAAATTTAAGAACTTTAGTAAATGTATATACACATGTAGAGACGTATTATAATTGTTTTTTTTTTAATTATTCTAGCAGCGATTCCTGTTCAGGTGGTCTTTGTCTTCTGAGGAGTTTGTATAAAGCCACCAGTTTTATAACTGACTCTTTTCTTAGAATTATGTACAGCCAAGGATCAATGATAGCATTCAGGAAGGTCAACCGAACAAACCATAATTCAAGACTCCCATCGCCTGTTCTTATACCTGCAGCATGTAGGAAAATATCAACCTAAAAGAAAAATATCACAAATGAAATTATCGACTTGAAAAGTTGCATTTTGAAATACAAAAAACACAAATAATCACGAATTATTCAAATAAAACTATAAAATCAAAATTGCTACTATGATACTTAAGTGTTCCAAGGAACATAGAACGTTTGTGCTATCAACATTTTAAAGCAATAAAAAAAAACTTACGAAACTATGTATGAAAAACTACGAAGTCAAGTAAGAAAAGCTTTAGTTGCACATTGTTTTGCACTTTGATAAAACAGAGCAAGTAACTTAATATTTATTTTTAGATCACTTCACATAAAATACACATGCTTATAAAAGGTATACATGTATCACTTTTGGTTTAAAAAAAACATTCTGTATATTGATGACAACAAATATTCACAAAAAGACGAAGATCAGGTTTAAGTAAATTTTTTATGATTGCTTTAAAGTCTTGTGACAATAATATAAATAACAAATTCCTACTTTCAATGTTTCAAATAATTACGATTAGACTGACAATTGTACAGTAAGGTAAAAATACAAGTAGATGGACAATTTTTTTCTAAAATTTCTTTCTCGAACATAAAGGTACAAGTTAGAATATGAAGTAAGAAAACAAACTTTAAATCAATTTAAAATCATTTTAAGTACTGAAGTAAGAAAACAAACTTTAAATCATTTTAAATACTAAAGGGTGGGGAGGGGCATTAAAATTTTAAGTTTCAAATTAAACTAAGAAAAAGGTGACTTTAAAAAATAAATCATGGACCATGGTATGTACACCATAATATCTTTATATCAATTTATGGTAGCTTGTTTCATAATTCCGGTGTCTAATTTTAGATCAGAATAGAATGAAATAAATGGAGATAACGAACAATATTCGATCTCAAAAGTCCATTAAACAATACAAATTTTCGAGCAGAGCAAACATGGACCTCTAAAACATCAGAGGTAGGATCAGGTGCCATGGAGGAGTGAGAATCCCCTGCCGACCGGACACACCTCAGCCTCAGATGGATTACCAGTCCTTAAGAATCTAAAAATATTATCTTACGAAAAGCAAGATTCTTTTAATAAGATTTCTCAAAGTGCAGGTTTAAGTTTGTACAATTGACGACCTTAAAGGGGCTGAACACAGATTTGAAGCTCATATTTTCTAAAATTTCAAAATAATGTCATGACTTATATTTTGCTAGAGCATCGCACAATGAAATTTATTTAAAGGGTGTTTAGAAACTTCTTTTAACTGGAAATTTTTAAAGCTTCGAATTTTGGAACGCGTTTGATTCACACATATCACTGCATTTTCACAATGTGAACTTTATCCATGATACTTAGGAAAAGTAGAAATTTTGTTGTGTATTAATGAAAAATATGAAAACTAAAATCCAGAAAGTTCAGAGTAGAAATGCGAGAGAGCGAAATCGACTCACCAATATTGTCAGTCTGCGCTCAGTGAAGTGTGCAGACTAAACAAATTGAACACACCCGGTAAATTGATTGATTGATTGTATTTTGTTTAACGTTTCT